ATGGCGGTAGACTGTAATGAATATCTTCGAAACATCAGCCAACGATTCGACCAGTTCAACCAGGGACCTCCCATGCTGCAACATCATTTTATAGAACAACAAATCTTTCTACAACGACAACAACAACAACAGCAACAACAACAACAACATTACATCAACAGTTTCGCAAACTCGTCAACAGAATTGCAATATTTTTTCAACGATACTTTCAACAACACCTTATTCGCGCCACAGTCACCATCATCGTCTCTACAATCATCATTTCCAACATCATCTTCACCATCATCATTCTTATCACCATCATCACTCTTATCACCATCATCATTCTTATCATCCTCATCATTCTTGTCATTTTCACCATCACCACTGACACCGATTCCAACGAAACCACGTTTGCCCGACATATTCAATTTGGTTGCCATCTGTCTGTGTTTATTCGGAGTAGCAGGGAATGTGCTGAACATCTTCGTCTTAACCAGGAAACAGATCCTGAATTGTATGGATAGCATGGAAAAGAGTGTGAACGTTGGTTTGGTGTCGCTAGCCACCAGCGATCTGCTGTTCTGCTTGGTTTATTTCATCGGCTGCTGTGTGACGACTGAATCAGTTTATATGCCCTGGGAATGGAAGTTAAGTCTGTATTTCAATAATTATCAGGTTTGTGTTTGTTTGACTTTTGCTTGGTTGGTTGGTTGGTTGGGTAATTGGTTGGTTGATTGGCTGGTTGGTAGTGATTGTATATTGTTGTTGATGTTGTCGTTTGTTCTTTATGTTATTTTGCTACAACTAAATATCCTAACCACAGTCACCACACCACAACCGGCACCACCACCAACAACAACAACAACATCCACATCGGCAACAACATTTTAGCAGCAGACATTTAAATGAGATTCTCAACAACTACCTCCATTCAATACAAACGACTCGGAGGATTAGAAGTGGCGTCATTCACATCAATAACATGGCGCTCTCAAATTTGAATTTATGTAGCGCGCTCTTCCTCTTCGGAAACTAGAAAAAAAAATTTCAATTTGAAAGAGAAATAAATTTAAATATTGGCGCGTGTTTGAAGCGTTTTATCTTTAAAATGGGTGCTATATATAAAAATATGACGATGACGATGATGACGATGACGATAACAGAACTAACTCCCTAAGGAAACATCAAATCACATGCGGCGTCTTAAAATTCATGAAAAAAATAATATAAAGAAAGGAATGGATTTGAACCCGGGACCCTCGGATCAACAAAAACCAGCCAACCAATCATCTAACCAGTCAGCGATGCGTGAACATCTTTTGAAAGGTTATAGTAATGATGAGGATCTGCAACATCTGCATAATATTATTTTCTATTATAATAATAAAATTAAAATAATATTCATCATATTTATGCCCTGGACACTTCGATGATGATGATGAGGATGATGATGATGACAAAGACGATGATGATGAAGAGGATAACGAAGAGGATGATGATAATGATGATGATGATGACGACGACGACGACGATGACGCTGAAGATGACGATGATGATGACGACGACGATGATGATATGCCAGTAGCGTATATCAAGTTAGACAACCAAAAATATGATGGCAAAGCTAATAACTGCACCGTCCAAATGATGACAACTCCAATGATGAGGATGATGATGATGAAGACGACGATGTTGTTGTTGATGATGATGATGATGATAATGATGACGATGTTGTTGCTTGTTGATGATGACGATGATGATGACGACGACCAGAACGATGATGATGATGACGACGATGATGATGACGTAAATTGCCGGAAGTCGATTGTTTGTTTACAATTTTCAAGACGCCAATAGAAAAATGGTGATTAAAAATGATGGAATAACATTAATAATAATAATGATAATGAAAATAATAATAATAATAACACTAAATAACAATGGTAACAATAATTATAAACAAAACAACAAATGAATATTTTCACTCGTACGCTAACAACAACAATAATAATAATAACTATAATTATAAATAATCAAAAATAATTATTTCATCATAATTTATATAATTTTCTTCCTCGTTAATGTCAGCTGCCTAAAAATTCACATCACAATCTCTGGCTCATTGCATGGTACAATCCTTCCTTTTTCTTCTTCTTCTTCTTCTTCTTCTTCCTCTTCTTTTTCCTATTCTTCTTCTTCCTCTTAATCTTCTTCCTCTTAATCTTCTTCCTCTTCTTCTTGTTATTACTATTATTATTATTCTTATGATGGTTTCATTTTAATTGTTTTATTATTATTATTAATCATTATTTTTTTCCATTGTTCTCGCATCATCTTCATCATGTTCGTCATCATCATCATCTTTATTATCGTTGACAGTCCTCATCGTCACTTTTGTTGCTGCTGCTGTCATCATCATCATCATCATCATTAAAACATCATCATCACAATCACCACCATCACCATCATCATCATCATCAGAAGGATAACTTTAAACATTAATTTTTAACTTTAAAAATTAACTTACTGTCATCAATTCATCACCACCACCACACCACCATCAACCCACCAGTCACCACCCTCACCACACCAGTCAATAATTCACCACCACCACACCACCATCAACCCACCAGTCACCACCCTCACCACACCAGTCAATAATTCACCACCACCACACCACCATCAACCCACCAGTCACCACCCTCACCACACCAGTCAATAATTCACCACCACCACACCACCATCAACCCACCAGTCACCACCCTCACCACACCAGTCAATAATTCACCACCACCACACCACCATCAACCCACCAGTCACCACCCTCACCACACCAGTCAATAATTCACCACCACCACACCACCATCAACCCACCAGTCACCACCCTCACCACACCAGTCAACAATTCACCACCACCACACCACCATCAACCCACCAGTCACCACACCACCCCTATCATCATCATCATTACCAGGAGGGCATCTTGAACGTCCTGCAGCTAACGAGCACGTGGCTAACGGTCAACATGGCCGTCGGGAGGTACTTCGCCATCTGCAGACCCCTACACGCCAGGGGGTACATCAGTCTGAAGGGTTATTATTATTATTATTATTTTTGTTGTTATTATTATTAGTAGTGTTAGTAGTAGCCAGGGGGTACATCAGTCTGAAGTGTCATTATTATTATTTTTAATATTATTATTCTTATTATTATTATTATTATTATTATTATTATTATTAGTAGTAGTAGTAGTAGTACTAGTAGTAGTAGTAGTAGTTGTAGTTGTAGTAGTAGCCAGGGGTATATCAGTTTGAAAAGTTATTATTATTATTATTATTATTATTATTATTATTATTATTATTATTATTATTCAGTTCAATTCATTTCAGTTGAATTTATAATGAGTTTATTTAACAAAAAAGGTCAAAAACGTGTATTATTATTATTATTATTATTAGTAGTAGTAGTAGTAGTAGTAGTAGTAGTAGTAGTAGTAGCGGTGGTAGTACTAGTAGTAGTAGTAGTAGTGGTGGTGGTAGTAGTAGTAGTAGTTGTAGTAGTTTTAGTAATAGTAGTAAGGGTTGTAATAGTATTACCGTCATTATCGTCGTTGTCGTCGTCATCATCATCATCATCATCATCAGCATCACCATCATTATCATCACCACCACCACCACCATCATCATCATCAGGAACGAGAATAGCAGTGGTATGCATCCTTCTAGGCTCGACCCTCGTCAACCTCCCCCGCTTTTTCTACTACCACAACAGTCAGGTGCCCTGCGAAATTTTCCTCGATACGAGTTTCGACCCCCTTGACTTTGCATTTCTCAACCCCGAGGACCCGGGTTCGAATACAACTTCGGCCGGTCTTTATCACTTTGGTAACGGCGATATAAATCGTTACGTGGGTTATGGTAGTGATACTAATGGAAGTAGTAGTGATCCTATTAGTGGTGATAAGATTCGTATCGGTATTGCAGATGATGATGCGAATGATGATAAGAAACCGAATATAATAAGTGATTTGGCTGGATATAGAGGTGATAACATTAAAGATGACATCAATGATGGTAATCATGCTGATGGTGATGATAGCAGATTAAAGAGACATGCACCGCCAATTAAAGTTAGGATTTTACATTTGCGCGTGTGTGTGTGTGTCTGTGTGTGTGTGTGTGTGTGTGTGTGTGTGTGTGTGTGGGTGGGTGGGTGAGTGTGTGTGTAGGTGCGTGTGTGTCAAACAGCGCTTTATAACGTAAAGTAAATACATCCAGGTGTGTTAAGTAATTAGCTTTAATAAATGAATACGTATTTTTTTTATCTATCACTCAATCATCATCATCGTCGTCATTGTTATCATCATTATCGTTATCATCATCATCATCGTCGTCGTCGTCATCATCATCGTAATCACAAATATTATTTTCATACCTTTTCATCGTCTGTCAATTATGAATATTGAGTTGTTTTTTTTTTGGCAGACGATGTTGCACCCAAAAAAAAACAACAAAAGAAACTATAAATAATAAAGACAGCAAAGAGAAATTAATGATAACACCAAAGAAATGATAATAACCGAAGAAATAATATTAATAACAAGTAATAAATAGAAAAAAGATAATAAAAAAAGGCATTGTTGTGCCAGCAACAATAATTTGCGGTCTATCGCTAAGAAGTTGTGTATTTGTCATTGTTGTTGTTGTTTTGCTGACGTTTTTGTTGTTGCTGTTAATGTTGCTCTGTTGTTGTTGTTGCTGCGGTTGTTGTTGTTGATGTTGTATTTGCATTTGTAAGATTGATTAATTGTTGAACGCTATGATTAATGATGGGTGATATTATCCTCAATTTTCTGTTGTTTGTTAGTTTGTTGGGTATTTGTTTTGTTTGTCTGTTTTTGGTTTGCTTATTTTTTTGTTTTCATGTTTGTTCATTTTTATTTTTGTAACTATTGCCAATTTACCAACATGTTTATTCCGCGTGTTATTAAATTTAATGCTCACAATTTTAATATAGAATAATTAAAATATTAAAATAAATAAAATTCTCCTACGAAAAATAATAAGTCATCAATAAATTTTAACAAATTATTAAATTAAATAATATTAATTTCGGTTAAAAAATAGAAAAAAACAATAAAAATCATAATAAAAAAAGTCTTCCTGGTCGGCCAACTTTGATTTACAGTGCCTAACTATGGCCTAGGCCACAATGGGATGAATTTTAAAACTCAAATAACTATCATGAAAGTGCAACAAAATAAACAACAATTTCAACAACATCAACAATAATTTTGACAACATCAACAATAATTTCAACAACATCAACAATAATTTCAACAACATCAAAAACAATTTCAACAACAATAGCAACAAAAACCAGTATAAGCACAATAGCATAGACACTCAACAGCATAGACAACAACAGCATAGACAACAACAGCATAGACAACAACAGCATAGACAACAACAGCATAAACAACAACAGCATAAATAACAGCAACATAGACAAAATAGTACAAACACGGACGATAATATAATTGATGGAAAAATCCTTTTGTTCAATATGCAAGCGGTTCGTTCTGTAATCTCTTTGTTTTACATTATCTTCGCCTTATTCATTTCCTCCTCTTTCTTTTACAATCTTTCTATCTTCTTCTTTTTATCAATCTCGCTCTTTCTTAATTTGCTATCTGTCCATCTATTCATCCAGTCATTCATCAATCCATCTATTTATCCATTCATTCATCTATCAATATACGTGTATTAATATATACATATACATGTATTTTTCTATAATTTTTCAACTTCTCTATCTTTCCATCTTTCTTTCTTTCTTTCTTTCTGTTGATACTTTTGTGGTTTGGTCAGTATACAGTATAGAAAAAAATTGTTGGAAAACTGGAATAACACATCTGCTAGCAAATCAAAAATTCATCAAAGAATTTTTTTCTGGAAACTTGTGAAAAAGCTTTCCTCGAATGAAAAAAATACCAACTACCCTGATGTTTTTTTTATTAAAAGTGTAGACACGTGGGAAATTTTATAAAAATAGGATGCAGGTCCACACTCATACAAGCACTATCTCACTTTCTCTCACTTTCTCTTTCTTTCTCTTTTTTTCTCTCTTTCTCTCTCTCGCACACTCTTTATCTCTCTCACATACGCAAACACGTTACAGTCTTCTTTTCACTTCCAATGTACATACACTCTTACTTAAATATTTATACACATTCATGCAAACACACTCATTCATTGGAGTGTATAAGTGTGTGTGTGTGCGTGCGTGTGTGTGTGTGTGCGTGTTTGTGTGTGTGCGTGCGTGTGTGTGCGTGTGTGTGTGTGTGTGTGATGATGCACAGTTTCATTATTTCATTTTGTAGATCGCAAGTTCTCCCCATCGTCATTCATTTCCGGTTGACCATAAGACGATGACGTCATCGTCAAATGAAATTAAAAAGAATTTGATGGCCGCAAAAATTATGACGACATTTAACACATTAGATGAAGATGACGCCGCTACTGCTGCTTCTGCTGCTGCTCCTGTTGTGGCAGCTGCTAATGATGATAATAATGTTAATACTAATGATAATAAAATCAATAATTATAATAATGATGACGATGATAATGATAAAGATATATCATATAACTATGAAAAAACAATTTACTGCTCAAACAAAAACATTAACAACAACAACAAAAATAATTCTGTTAACAATAATAACAATGATTACAACAATGTTGCCAACTATAAAACTGTTGCTAACCTTAGTAATGACGTCATCAGCAGTCTATACGACAAAAGCATCAACAAAAACTACAACAACAACAACAACTACTACTACTTCTACAACAGGAATAAAATATTCAGCAACAATCTTTTAATCACAAATACGAAAAAAGACAGCGCAATATCAATGGCGGATGAAGGTTCAGGGAAGGGAAAACTAAATATTGAAAATAAAAATTTCATAACACATGGTGATGAAAAATATAATCTAGACGTAAATTATACAAAATCTACAACAAAGAAACATACAAACATACATAAAAATAAACATACAAACATACACACAAACATACATACAAACATACATACAAACATACACACAAACATACATACAAACACCCATACAAAAATACAAACCAACAATCCTTCAAACATTTACAAAAACACAATCCCAGGCAAATATAAACACCCAGACTCACATACAAGCATGCATACAAACCCGCATACAAACGCACATACTTACGAACATACAAAAGTACATACTAACGAACATACAAACAAACATACAAATGTTAATAAAACAATCACGCCAAAAACCATCGGCATAATTAATGAAAGTAATGTAGACGATCGATTCGGTATACCTAAACATAGGTGTAGGC